ATCACAATAAAACAAGTTTTTAATTAAAAAGTATTTTCAAAAACCACTCCCAGCCCCTCACATGTCACTCCACGGCCAAACACTATCTTGACTAGTTTTTCCAGGTTGGTTTGTTTTGTTTTGTGGTGGCTGGACAGTAAAGGGATCCAAACACTTGACCTTGGTGTTATCAGCACCACACTCTATCCAAGGGAGCTAACCAGCCAGCCCTAGTTTTGCCAGCTTTGAACTTTATATAAATGGTATCATACAGTATTGTGATAGGCAGAATCATGACCCCCCCAAACAAGTCCACATCCTAATCCTCAGAATCTCTGAATATGTTACCTTGCATGGCATAACGAACTTGGAAGATGTGATTAAGTTAAGAACCTTGAGATAGGGAGATTACCCTGGATTATTCAGGTGGACCCAGTGTAATCACAAGGGTGCTTATGAGAGAGAGGCAGAAGAGGCCAGAGTGAGGCAATGAGAACAGGACTCACCCCTCTGTTCCTGGTTTTGAAGGTGGAGGAGGAGGGACGTGAGCCAAGGAATGTGGGCAGCCTCTAGAAGGTGCAAAAGGTAAGGAAACAGATTTTCTCCCCCGTAGCCTCCAGAAGTAACACAGCTCTGCCAACCCCTTGACTTTAGTCAGTGGAAGCCATCTGAGACTTCTAATTTATAGACCTGTAAGTATTCTTTCAAGCCATTAGATTTGGGGACAATTTGTTACACAAGCAATAAGAAATTAACTCAACAATTAACCCTTTGTGCCTGGCATCTTTGCCTCAACATTTTGTCTGTACTCTGTAATATTCCATTACATGAATATACTACATTTTATTCAGCAACTGTTGATGGTCATTTGGGTTGTTTCCCATGTCAGCTATTATGGATAGTGCTCCTATGAACATTCTTGTATATGTCTTTTGGTGAACATATGTACACATCTCTGTTGCACATATATAGGAATAGGATCGCTGGGTTATAGGGTATGTGGATATAGTGGACGCTGTGGTGCATCCCCAGACTCTCCTTCAGGACTGAAGGGCCTATTCCCCGAGCTGCTGGAAGGGCTGCTGGCTGGCAGTCCTCAGCTGCCAGGCCTCTGAGAACTAGCCTCAACTGCAAAGAGCTCCTCTGGCCAAGATCACATATGCTTCCCAGGGGCAGCCTGTATCTATTCAATGACTGGTTGATATGTGGAGGGGGAGATATAAAAGCCTCCTTACCCTCTGCCACTTGGAATAGCTTTTAAGGGTCACCCCAAATTGAGAGCTCTTCGGAGATCAGGGGAGGATTTTGTTGAGGCTACATCCCAACCCAGCCTCTCCCTCTTCCCAACCCTGCTTCCTTCCCTTCCTCTGCAGGTGTTGGTGCTGGGAGCACTCCCTAATAAACTTCCTGAATGCTAATCTCCACCCAGGATCAGCTGCCTGGGAATACAACCTACAACAGCTTAGGTTAGCTTTCATGGATATTATCAAGCAGTTTTCTAAAGTGATTGTCCCAGCATATACTCCCACCAACAGTGTGAGAGAGTTCCAGTTGCTCAACTTTCTTGTCAACATTAGGTATTTTCTTTGTCTTTTTTTTTTTAAGCCACTCTGGTGGGTGGGTAGTAGGTCGCCATTGTGCTTTTTTTCTTTTTCTTTTTCTTTTCTTTTGTGCCTGGTTGGTGCAGGAATCCAAACCCTTGACTTGGTATTATAACACCTTGTTCTACCCAACTGAGCTAACTGGCCAGCCTCATTGTGATTTTTTTTTTTAATGGATAAAATTTATTTTTCTTAATTAATTAACTTATTACTATTATTTTTACATTCTAAGATATTGTTGCAGAGCAGTTGAGGGGAGGAGAAGAGGGGAAGGGGGAGGGGGAGAGGGTGGAAGGAGAAAAAAAGGAGGGGGTCATGGTCAAAGCCCATGGCAGCCCCCTCATTCGAACAGGGAAGACCAGGGCACTTCTGGCAGTGGCTCATGGTTGTGGATGTCGGGAGGGGTGTGGCTGAGCCTCCCCTCCTCCCCGGCTTGGGAGCCCAGGAGGCTTCAGGTCCTTCTAGGTTTAACAGGTGTTCTTTGGTGGTGTTAGACCTTTACTGCTTAATATCAAAACTTTGTCTCTTATCTGTGGGTATTTTATTTTTTCTTTCAGTTCTGTGTTGGATTATTCACTGTTCCCACCACCTAAACTCTGCACTGGAACTAATTTGTTGTCACTTGGTTACTTCTAAAATGGGGAAATTTCCTAATGGAACCAGCATGTGAGCCCTGTGGTTGAGCTAAATTGCTGCTTTGCTGCTGATTCTCTGGGGAAGGCTTTTTGTGCAGCTTAGGTTTTGATTGTTGACCTTGTAAGTCAACAATTCCGGGTCTTGTGAGGTCCGGTACACCTGGGTTGTGTGGAAACTCTGGTCTGGGCCTGAGTCTTTTCAGCAAACTGCACCCCCTGCAGTTCTGTATTCCTGACCAGTCTGAACTGAGTTGTCCTGTGCTGACTGGGGGGCAGATCAGCTGTCCATGCTGTGCTCCAGTGTTCCCCCGGTGGGCCTGTCTCCCCTACTGCCCTGACTCCAAATACTTCTCATAGGACAGGCCATGCACCGGTCCCTTGCAATGACTCACCAGCCTTTGAGTGGCTTCTTTTTTCAGTTGTCTGTGGCTCCTTGCTCCTATGAGGATCCACAGGAACCGTGTTAGTGGTCTTGCTGGCCAGGGGCCACCAAGGCTCTCTTCTCCCCTGCAGATTCCAAGCAACTTCAGACAAAGGGCACATATGCAGCTTTTGTCAGCTCTTGCTCCGTATGTTCACCAGGGCGAGCCTTGAAGCAGCTGGGCCTCGAAATGGTGGGAGGGATCTTTACTTTCTCTCATCATGGCTTTTCCTGCCTTCATGAACTTGTAGGTCTCTCCTACAGGTTCATGAGCTCTAATGGCCCCAGCTTGGCTGTTGTTGCTTTTTAGTAGTTGTAAATTGGTTGATTGCAGTAGAGAGTGACACTGGGGACCGTCTATTCCACCATCTTGACCAGAAGTCTCCAGAATGGATAAAATTTAAAAGACTGACCATACCTCAGCAGCCACATCAGAGGAAGATCTCCAGGCTCTCTGCTCTCTCTGCTTCCACCGTCTTGCAATGTGAGACCCCTGAATCACTGTCACCACCACCAAATGGACTTTGTACTTCTCATCCTCAGAAACTGTAAGCGATAAATGTCATTTTTCTTTATAAATTAAAAAAAAAAAAAAAAGAAGAGGAAGATCTCCAGGCTGCATTGTGGAATGAGACCTGCAGCCTAAAGCAGGGCCTCCCTAAGGGCCGGACAAGCAGACTACAGCCTGAGACGCTGCAGCACAACTGGAGACACTGTCACTGTGTTTTTTTTTTTTTTTCCTTTTTGTCTTTTTTCGTGTCCAGCAACGGACCGCAACCCTCAGTGTCGCGCCCGTACTGGACCGGGACCGGCAACGGGATCGCAACTCTCGGTGCTGCTCCCGCACCTCGCTCAGCCAGTGAGCAGGAACCGGTCTGTATGTGGGATCCGAACCCTCAGCGGGAGCGCCGCCACGCTCCCAAGCGGCGCACTGTAACAGTGTGCCACCGGGCCGGCCCCCTGTCACTGTGTTTTAATTTGCATTTCTCTGACTTAAAGAAGTTGAATACCTCGTTACATGTTTATTGGGTCATTTGGATGTACTCTTTTGTGAATCGCCTGATCAAGTCTTTTACCCACTTTTCTACTGGGTTGTGGGCCTTTTCCTTAGGGATTTTCAGGTGCTCCCTCTATAGTCTGGACACATGTCCTTTGTTGGGTATACTCAGAGTGCCTCAACAGTAACACATAGTGGGTGCCCATAAAAATGAGTTACAAATACGAGTATGCTTGAGTCTGAAACTCCTTTAAGGAAAGAATGCTTGCATAGGTGAAACTATGTACAGTTTTTATTTGTTTGTTTGTTTTTTTAAAGATGACCGGTAAGGGGATCTTAACCCTTGACTTGGTGGTGTCAGCACCACGCTCACCGAGTGAGCAAACCGGCCATCCCTATATGGGATCCGAACCCGTGGCCTTGGTGTTATCAGCACCACACTCTCCCGAGTGAGCCACGGGCCGGCCCAAACACTCAAGTTCTTAATGGTAATTGTACGGTTTTTTGTTTTTATTGAAACGTATTGATTATACATATTTGTGAGGTGCAGAGTTATATTTTAATGCGTGTATGCAATGTGTGATGACGGTAATTGTAAATTAATATTCATTCATTCAATGAATGTCCATGGAAGAAAGTTATCAATGAGCCAGCCTTTTCTAGGCTCTGAGGAGCCAGCTGTGAACAACAGAGACAAGATCTTTGCTTCCAGGAGATCTGGAAGAGACAACAACAGATAAACAAAACAAAATAATTTCAGAGGATTTCGAGACGGAAACTGAAGGAGTCGAGCTTGGAGGAAGGACGGTCAGACCAGGGCATCAAGAGGCCCCGCACTCAGCCCCGCCTCCCTCTTTGCATACGCCTTCTGATTGGCCGGCCGAGTGGACTTGGGAAGCAGCGGGCGGGAGGGGCCGAGATGCAGCGGCAGCTCCGGGTGTCGCCCGGCGGGCCGAGGGCAGCGCGGGCCGGGGCCAGGCAAGGGGCGCCCACCGCGGCACCCGCGCGCTCCTAGCGCCCCAGACCTGCTGTCGGGCCCGGGCCTTCCCCGCCGCCGTCCCTCCCGCCGTCTCCGTCCCTCCACCCTTTGT